CTCCTCTCCGATAATATGAATGGACATTTGTTTACACCAAACTGAGCAAATCTAATATTTATTTCGCATTTAGGTCACAGGACATCAAAACAAATACTTTTACCCCAAACAGACTTCTTGGCCTTGTGGTTTCACTCCTGATTTGCAGAAGTATTTGTGCGAAGAGCTGGCTTGCTCTCACTTAAAAATGAAAAGGAAAAGAAGTTATTTAGGGTCCTGCACTCTGCTTTAAGGTAGCAACACAACTCCCTCTGCACCCAGATCAGCTCTGGATGCCACTCTTGATTTTACTGGAACCAGGACAAGATCATTAAACTCGTATTTCCTGGATTTGCTAGCTTCTTTTCAGCACTGAAAACCAAAATTATTTAAATACGTAAGCCTAAACACCCCAAATGTGAAGTATTAAAAATTATATTTAACAATCTTGGCACAAACAGTGGCTGCAAGGCTCATCCTGCTCCCATCAAATCTGAGACAATCCCATTGCTTGTAAAGATGCATTTTTCAAAGATGATTTTTTCCCTTCCAGCCTGCTCAGTCCAAGGATCACATTAACTCTGTTCCTTTGAAAGCTCCAAAGTGTTCAGTACATGGAAAACTGACCTTTTTTCCAGTTAAGTTTGCATTGGTTTTAAGGCAGAAACTGCTGAAGAAAGAATTTCAAAAGCTTAAGAAAGCTGGTGGTCCCTTATGGCTTGCAGTAATGAGTAAAATAAAATGCTCCTACTGGTCTCCTTCCCCCTGTAATTGAAATAGATGCTGTACTGGGGCTGCAAAACTGCTGCCCAATTATCGCCCAACCGGGTGGATTTACATCACCTGCTCAGCCCTGGTGTGGTGTGAAATGCTTGGGAGGGCCAGTATAAACATATTTATAGCCTGGTAGGGTATGCTGAGCTCTTAATATAAGGATAATAATGTTATATATGTATACAAACGTGTGCATCGTGTGCATATATATATATAAAGATACAGCTAAGCAAATTTCACATGTGAGGGCACAAAGAGCTCCTGGCTGTGGCACAGAACAGCTCCCTGCCTGTGAAAGACCTGGTTTACCCCAGTGCTTGTGCTTGGATTTTAATTGCACTGTGGATGTGATCCTCTTTTGCTGGTGCATCCAAGCTTCCCCTTGGTGTGTTTACCTGGTGTCTGAGCACCAGGGCATTCCTTGACAGACCAGACAGGTAAACACCAACCTGTCCCTATATCATTAGGGTCACTTCTCACGTTGGCTTGGGTGGGGGAGGCAGTTTGTGCCCCACAAACCCCTTTCAAATGAGTTGGCTTTGCAGAGCCACACAGTATTTCACAGGTAAACGACAGACTGTCTACGTGGCTCTAGGTAGGAGAAGAGGGAGGTTGTGACCATCATGTGAAGCGACACAGACAATTCCTCACATGTTTGAAGAGCCCCATGCCAAATCCCCCCTCCCCGTTTCAATGTCATCAGGGTAAAAACCACAGAGCTGAGAGTGTGCAGTAGGAATGCTGTCACATATCAGACATTTCAGGAAGTCTCTGTAATTTCTTTAATTATTCAGACAACAGAGCACAAGGATAATAGCTTCAAGTACATTCTTATACATTATTTTAACAGTAATAGATATGTATTTAGTCATAAACTACTCTGTAGCCACCACTATGTGTACATTTTATACAAACTATTGCCATACTCAGACCCTGAAAATGGACAGTGACATCTCCTAGACGTTTTGCACAACGTTTTGACAGTACATCCTTCATACGAGAGCTGGAGCTACAGTTTGGGTTGGCCCATCTAAGGAAGCACTTCTAACGCACACCACGGAGGGGTGATCCGGATGAGAGGAGCCGGAGGAAGAGATGGAACACACACATGGTGAGAGGAAGGCAGAAAGCCTCTTGGAATATGTGCAGTGGAGAGCATGGCACAGCACTTCTCTGCTTGGCCAAACAGGTTGATCCTAGTATAAGACAGCATCTTAGCTTCTCTCCCACCACAAAGCTCTGAGCTCGTCTTGGCCTTTTGGTGAAGATTAAATGCAGCAATGTCTGATATGATCCCTACCAGACACATGCCCTACACTGACACAGGCATGGGCTCTGTTCTGATGGCTCATTCACATCTCAGTTACAACTTAGACTGAAGCCCCCAGGCCAATGGCTTTAAGTTTGATCGCTGACATCCCTAAACACCTCCACTGCCCGACCTCTGGAGAAGGTCATTTTTCTGAGTGTAAAGGCCTTAAAAAATGTCATCTGCCACTCAGAGACAGGGATAAGAGAGCTCAGATGCCCAAGCACTGCCATACATGCAAAGGCCCGGCTCTTAGAGCAGGGACTCATTTGTTCCATGATCACATTCTCACATGCCCCAAACCAGCCGCCTTGTCAGCCCTCAACGCACCAGCAGACCCCAAAGACATGGAGGTGGCAGAGTCCGAGCTGGGGTGGGCAGCAGGTCCCCAGCACCCACCAGGCAGTCCACAGTCCCCCACGATGCCCCACATCAGGAGGGCATTAGGGTGGCTTGGTTCCTGTCCTGGTGCTGCAGCACGCTGGTGGTCACACTGAAGTCTCATCTCCCCAGCCATGTCCGAGCTGTGGAGGTTGGAAGTGGTCCTGGACTAGAGGTTGACGGGAAGGAGAGACCACATCCATCTGTTAGGGCTTGACACAGCAGTGCTCGTGCACGGGGCTCAGCCACCAGCTCCTGACAGCACTCCAGAAGCTCCTAGGATTTCAACATGGAAGAGCATGGTCTACACCCTCTGGAGATGGCCACAGGTAGGGACATTCCGGGAGGCCCTGGAGCTGCTGTCCATCCCAGCAGGAACATGGCTGTGTCTCTGGAGCAAAAGGCTGCCCGATGGATGAACATCTAGACCGGTGAATAATGGAAACCAAAGGAAAGGTGAGAAGACATTCAAGGAAAGCTCCCTTCCGGCACGGTCCTGTTGCAGACGCTCACACACATGCACACACAGTGTTTTGCAAAATTTTTAAAGGGTTCCTGGAAACCCCTCATGGAGGAGCACGTGGTGCAGTAGAACCTCACTGATCAGCACCTGCAAGGATGATCCCCTCAGCAGGGGTTGGGGCTGGGACCAGGCAGGGGATTCAGTGCTGGCCACACCACTCAGCTCCAAAAACACATCTCCAGTGCGTTCACACATCGGTGGCTCGGGACAGACTCCTGTGTTATAGCTAAGGAATGTCTCTCAGAATAAACGAACAAATCTTTATCCTTTCTTTGTTTTGCAAAAATGGTGTTTTGCTCTGCTCTCAGCGGCCCCAAGCCCTGTGTTGTTACTCAAAGTGGCCAGTGAAATCTGGTGGCCGTCTCCTTCTTCCAGCATCTGCCACATGAATCCCTGCTAACTCACCAAAGTCAGTGTCTCTCCCTCAGATTTCCATCTTCTGGCACCCAAATTAAAGCCAATTAAAATCCCGGTGCGGCCACAAGATGAAGGCAGTTGCCTGCTTTTACATTTGCACACTTCAAAGGGAAAACTTGATTTAATATCCTCAGAAATCAATTTTAAGAGCTGTCTGCAGTGTCCAGACCAGGCCAGGAAGCGGACAGGGAGCCGGGGCTGGAGCTGGAAGAGGGGAGAATCGCCTGAGTGCGGATGGGGAGCCAGGGCTCCGGCAAAGGGAAACCGCGTCTCCCGGTCGCTCGTGCAAATAAGTGAGGTTCTACTGTCACTACAAGAGATTCCAGGTTATGCTCAAATGTGATGGATTCTTTTCGATAATTAAAGTACCAAAATTAAATGTCATAAGTAACACATCTAAATATAATAACAGGCACTCCTTTAGGCATCATGTTTCCTAAACCAATAAGCAAAAAGGAAAAAAAAAAAAAGATGGGATGCACCAGGAACTCTTAGTTATTATATACTAACCAGACTGTGCATGGCACATTTTATTTCTATAAAACTATTAAAACTATTACAAAATATTCAAAAATACATTTTAGTAAATTTACAGCAGTTATTTCTCAATTTATTAATGCAAAACATCCTTTTCTCCCCTCTGTACAAACTACCATCTCCATCGTCACAGAATTGCCGCCATGTGCGTTTTTTAAAAAATATTATTTTCTAATAAACTTTTTTTTTGAAGTTAAAAATAACAAAGTTTCTTACGGTTTTTGCAAATAAAAAGTTTGTGTAACAGTCTTGACTTCCATGGACGTGGCCGAATGGTGTTTTTACAAAGCAAAACATGGAAAACAATACAGGAAATGGTGTTACATTTGAAACTATTTAAATTAAAATAATATATTCTCATATTTTACACTATTTCAAAAAACGAAATGTGATTCAGTTAAGTATTGATCTCTCAAAAAAATCTAATTTACAATTCTGTGTATAAAAATATAATTTACGGACCCCCATGAAGTTTGTCTTTTTTGTGTGTGTCTGTTTGTTTGCTTGTTTTTTAGACTTGCTGAAATGACGGAGCAATGTAATGGAGAGATGGGAAAGTACAGAATTTTGCTTTCTGAAAGTCAGGACACACGTGACATGTAGAAAAATAGACTCTGCGCAGTTTTGCTTGGCCTCACAAAATAATTTTTTCCCGTGTGAGTACAGTTCACATGATAATAAATTATCAAAGAAACTATTTAAGGCTCTTGAAGGTCCGGTTCATATCATTTAAAACATCTATTCAAAATACCAAAGAAATAAATATCCAGGAGAGGAGGAAAAAAAACAAAACAACAACCGACAAACGAAACAAAAGAACAAATAAAAATATATATATATTTATAAACTAAACAGAACAGAACTTCCCGGGGTCTTTGTTTCCCTTAAAGTCTACTTTGGACTGTCCTACTTAATTATTATTATTTTATTATTATTATTATTTTTAAGTCTTAATCCGTGCTCTCTTTTAAAAATAGGTATTTTTTTCTTTTTTTTTTTCTTTTGGGTTTTTCTTTTCTTTTTTTTTTTTCTTTCTCTTTTTTAGTCTCCTTTCTCTCTCTCTCTGTCTCTCTCTCTGTCTCTCTCTCTCTCCCTCTGTGTCTCTGTCTCTCCCTCGGAGGCCGGCAGGTGGCCCGGGGCGGCGCAGGATGCTCTCAGCTGGACGACACCACCATGCCCAGCGGGTGCAGAGAGTCACTATCCAGCACCCAGCTGCCGATGCGGTAGAGGAGCCGAGAGTACCAGTGGATGCCGGGGGCCGTGGGGTCGCCCATCGGGGACCCCCCTCCGGAGGGGCAGAGGGTGGCCAGCATCCCCTGGAGCAGGCGGAAGGGGGCGAAGGCCCAGTGTGCCCAGCTGTGCTCCTCCACGACGGCGTAGCAGGAGGCCAGCACGCGGTTGATGAGGATGGTGCCCTGGGCGGTGAGCGGGGCGTAGGCCCCCGACGCCTCCTCCCGCAGCGACACACTGTGCACGGCCGCGGGCAGGAGCTGCCGCCGCCCTCGCCCAGCCGAAAGACCGCTGGCCCGGCGCACGCGGCTGGCGAAGAGCGCCGGCGGCTGCTGGGGGTCCCCGCCTGAGACTGGTTGTGCTGGGGGGCCACGAAGAGGAGGTGGGCGGCCGTCAGCAGCAGCCGGGCCGGGGCTGCCGTGTCTCGATGACGTAGAAGAGCTTGTGGGAGCCATCCTCCCGGTCGAGGAAGGTGAGGAAGTCGCTGTAGAGCAGGCGGCCTTCGGTGTCGGCCACCAGCACCCTGTCGCCGGGTCTCAGGTCCTTCACCAGCTTGGTCCCGCCTTGCTCCAGGTGCACCGTGGCCGAGCCAGGGAAGCAGCCTCCAGATTTGGCTGCCACCGAGTTTTCTGTGCAAGGAGAGAGGCACAGCAGGGTTAGAGGAGGGAGAAGCTCAGCTGGAGCATGGGTGTATGAGGGGACACGCCGCTTCCCCAACCACCCTGACCCACCCAAGAAGAATAGGTGCAGGACACAGCCAGACTTCTCTCTGAAATTCCTCCATCCTCATCTATGAACATGCCCCATTTACTCCCAGTGGGTCAAGTGAGAATCCCCTTCCTGACAGATTTGAGCCAGTGCATCTCTCTCTGGGTTAGGAGTTAGTTTCTTCGTTAAGGAAATGGACCAAAATATTTCCAGCAAGAAAACTCTTCCAGAACAAATTTCTTCTGGAAGAACTTCCCATTTGGCTACGATTTACCCTACACTGACATCCGATGCCAGATAACTCGCAACCTTTTGAAGCCGAGTGCTTTTACTGGCTTAAGGTTTCTCCTCTAAGCAAGTGTCTGCGCTTGCAGTGCTCAGGGTCCCCACTGAGCTCTTACTCAAGGAGGTCATCTAGGGAGAAGACAGCAGGGAGCAGGAGGAAACTTTGCTCCAAGGTGCACATGAATTTGCCCCACTGGAAAGCAACAGTCAGAGTTTCACGAGTCCTCCTCCATCACCCTGTACATGCCCCCGTGTTGTCTCCAGTCCTCTCTGCTCTCCTGCTTGGCATGGTGGCTACTGGTGCACATGTCGCTGTCATACCACCCCTGCTCAGCATTTCCTGCACTCTGGGTCACTCCTCTTTCCAAAAAAAAAAGCCTCTCCCACCCCAGTAGAAGAAGGATGCTGTTCCCTGTCCCAGAACTTGGGGTCCCCAGGCAGCTCCACATCTGTGCCAGGCTCAAGCTCCTTCACCTCCTCCAGCTCTTGGGAGTTACTCAGAGTTTAGATATTATATGCTGTCATGAACTGTAGCCGTTTTCCAGTGCTACTGAAAGGAACAATCTCAGATTTAAAGAAAGCAGAAGTAGCAATGAAACTCTAAGTCTGTCTTGCAAATCCCTTTCTGGAAGCTCAGCCACCGGTGGGGTGGTGGGAGAGAAACTCTGCCATGTTCCAGGCTGGTCTCTATCTTAACAGAGGGACTCTGCAGTGCCCCTAAAAGCTCTGGTATTCTGAAGATGGGGTAGTAGCTCATGCTATGCCATGGTAGCAAGTGTGTTTGCTACAACTGTTGGCATTCACCATCCCTCCCTCGCCTTTCCCTGGTTTCTCCCAGTTAATCCCTATACCAGTTAAGAGACCTGGTGATTTATCTCCTGAAGGTGGACAGGGTTTATATTTTACCTCCGCAGTTCTTACTGAAACTTATGGTTTAAATAAATCCTTGGAGTGTCTCCTAATGACTTTCTCGGGAAGGACAGGAAGGGTGAAAATTAGACCGTTATTGATTTGCTAATGACTTTATCACTTCTCCTTCAGAAATGAAGCAGTTAGATCTCCAAGGCCTCCCTCTTCAGGGAGGACATGGCAACAAACAAGCTATGTGCTTTATGTAGAGGCCTCTGCTAGCAAACTACACCTTCCTACAAGCCGACAGTAAAGGTCTGGCTAGAGCTTTGTTTGCATATTCAGGGACTTGATGAATAGATCTAGTAGTGTAGCAGCTCTACAAACATGCCAGTGAATTGGCAGAGGTGTGAAAATCTGCTTCTTTGAGCAGTGCTTGTTTGGGTTCTCTAATTAAAATCCAATAAAGGATCAGCATTGTCATTCTGATTCATGTAATAAATGCAGACACTCTTGGAAGAGAGGACACTTCCATTTTTTTCCCAGCTTCTTCCCCCCCTTTTCTCCCCCTCCCTATTTGTTCAGGTGCAGAAACCCTATGTGCCAATTCACACACATACTCTCCAAAAAACCCAGGACCTTCCAAGCATTATTTGCACAGCAGAGCCACTTTTCCAAGGCACTCAAGATCTGTATTTGAATTTTAAATGTAGAAGCTTGCTCTAAATACTTGCTGTAGCGCATTATCAATGTCCCTTTTACCACCCCTGCCTCTCCCTCCTCTGTTCTGGTGACAATAATTCAGGCCTTGGGGGAACTCTTCTTTGCATTCCAGTCTCCGGGATCATACTTTTTGCAAACAGAGATCTAGATAAAGAATCTTCCTGCCTGGCATTATGGGGTTTAATCTTCTCATGAGATGCTCTGTCATGAAATGAGGTTTGGACAGTTTAAGATCAGGGTGAGAGGATGGAATTCAAGCCTGCTTCCTTCAGCCTGCCTCGTACAGTCACACGACCCTGCGTGACACCCTCTAAATATTGCCCCCAACTCCGTGTGTGTCGAATCTCAATGAGCAGCTTGGGGTTACTCCTCTCCTATGAAATGCCCACGGGGGTGGATTAGGGGATGTGCTTGGGCTAAGGTCACCACACACCACAATCAGACACCTTGTGCTGTAAAGCCCATCTTGGCTGTTGAAAGGGATGTTTCATATCTCCACACAGCTGACAGTTCTGCAGGGCCTCCTTCTGGCTAGAGAGGACCCAGGAGCTGAACAAAAGCAGTAGCAGGCTCTCAGGACAAAGCCTCCACGGGCTGGGAGAAGTGCTACCTCGGCTCAGCCCCTGGGTAGCTTCGGGCTGGAGTGGGGCAATGAACCTGTCCTGCAGATGAGCAGACTGGTTTCCCTGCCCTGGGGCTGCTGGGTTCGAAACAAACGGCTATATTTAAAGAAAGCCCATTATTTTCCTTTGCAACCAAATGTTTCTTGACACATCCAGCAGGCTGCTGGGCTAGAGGATGCTCTTGAAAAGCGCTTTAGATGCCATCCAAAGGCATCTAAATGGGTGGAGGGAGACGGGAGGGCAGGGGGCTGGCACTTGCCAACCGATTTGCTCCCCAAAAAAGTGTCAAGTGTCAGAAAAAGGAACTCTGCGAGTCGAGGATTTCTTGCGAGCTGTTCCCGGGTTGAGACAGCGTGTGGCGTTGTAAGCACAGGGGAGGGGAGGGAAAAAAATTATGTGTATGTGTATCCCTATCTGGGAATTTCCTAGCGGCTACCGATGAAGGAGGCTGGGGACCACGTTACTTATTTATTTTCCTGGCCGGCTCCCACTCGGAGATTAGCGCTCGCGAGTAAGGCGTGCAGCCAGCGGGGCGGCTGGAGACTGCCACGAGTGTTTGTGTTGAACATGCTCTTTGGATGGGGAAAGCATCAGATCCCACGGGGGGAGGAGAAGGGTGTGTGGCTGCGGCGCAGCGCTCGTGGGAAGGCTGGGAAGAAACATCACCCAAATAAAAATTCTGTGCAAAAGTGCTGCAGCTGGCTGGGCTTTTTTTTTTCTTTCCGCCCTCACTCGTTCCTTACTCCCACCCCTGCGCCGGTGGGGCTCCGCTCCCATCCCCGCAGGAGCCCCGGCGGGGAGAGCCGGGTGATGGGGACACTTCGGGGGACAGGAGGAGGGAACCCGGGTGACATCAGGGCAGAGAAGACTCGGGGGGGCTGAGTCGTGGCCCGCGGGTGTCCCCCCATCCCGACCTGTCCCTGGCAAGTTGCCTGCCCTACCTGCTTTGACGGAGCAGTGGATGTGTGCCTTGGACTCGTAGTAGACCCAGTCGAAGCCGGCCTCGACGGCCAGGCGGGCCAGCATGCCGTACTTGCTGCGGTCCCGATCCGAGGTGGTGATGTCCACGGCGCGGCCCTCGTAGTGCAAGGACTCCTCAGAGTGGTGGCCGTCCTCATCCCATCCTTCGGTAACCCGCAGCTTTACGCCGGGCCACTGGTTCATCACCGAGATCGCCAGGGCGTTCAGCTTGTCCTTGCAGCGCTGCGGGATACGGATAGACAGGGAAAGGTCATTATGGGGATGCTGCAGCCAGGGGCAGACCCCCACTTCGTTATCTATACCCCCTTGGGCCGCATCCTACCCTCCCTCCCCAGCCAAATAGGCGGCAGCCCTCCCTTCCCCCCAAAACACGCGGCAGAATGGGCTCAGCCAGAGCTGAGCATCTTCTCCCCCGTTGCCAGGGAGGGATGGGGAAGCAGGTGAGGAGGAGTGTGAAACATGGGGACATGGGAGGAAGAGGGGATGAAACACCACGAAAACCCACAGGGACTGAGCAGTCCCCTCCCCGGCACCTGCTGCGGGGACAGGGGAAACCCCCCCGGCCGCACCACCGGGTGCGAGTGTGGTGGTTCAAAGCCACCTGCACGGAGCAAATTCCTGCCGCTAAGTGCCCAGTCCCTTCCCGAGAGCAAAGTTTCTGCCGAGAACAAACACTCGCCATATATCTCGGAGTCACGGATTCCCCCCGGAATGTCTCTCCGGGTCTTTTCAGCTTAATTCTGTGTTGAAAAGGGTATCAATACATGTTAACAGCCTTTATGTGCTGGAAGGATGGGTGTTTTGTTTTTTTTTTTTCTCTCCCTTCGCCCATCACTCATTAGAGCCCTCAAAGCTGCATGGGCTGGGAGCATTCACTCCGCTTCAAACATACATCGGCGCTCGCCTACAAAGCCGAGCAAATCCATACAATAATATAGCTCTTAGTGGGAAGATGAAAAGCAAGGGAGGGCCAAGGAGGGAAGTTAAGCGAAGCAGGGATGCTATGCAAGCTAGGAGCCTCTTTGTGTGGAGTGAAACGCTTACAACTCCGTGGAGAAGCATTGCAGGGTTTTTCATCGCCCCTCCGGAGCCACCGACCTTCCTCGGGCTGAACCGGGCCCCGCAGCACCAGGGTCCCTCAGGGACCGAGTAATGAGGGGGGCAAGATGGGGAGAGGGAGGGGAAAGGGGCCTGCAGCACTGGAAGGAGGTGAGCTGTAAATGAAGCCCTGAAAGTTCTGGGGGGATTCCTATCTTAGACAAGGGGGGGAGAACAGGCACAGTGTGATAGGGGAAAGGATTCTCAGCCCTCCGAAAGAGGAAATCAGCACCAAAAGCATTGAAAAGCGCTTGACTAAAGGTACAGAGTTAGAAACACGCACGTTGCCAGCTTTCTTCCCCATTTTTGAGAGTAAAACAAGTCGTGGATATACCCGATGTGGTTCGCTTGACGAGATGGATAAAAGCCAAGCGGGATGCAGTAAGCTGCTCTTCCCACACTTTTGCTAGCCTGACTGGGATTCTTGGCCTCCTGCAGGACCCTTCTCCCCAGTGTGCTCACAGCACACCTAATAACAGACCACAAAGTCCCCCTTCACAGCTCCCAGAAAGGCAAAGCCTCTCCATTACCCCAACGACGCTACTTTTAGGGACGTGACAAGGTTGCTCAGCAAGAAAGTTCCCTTGTGTCTATCAACAGCCATAAAAGTGATACCAGCGACACACAGGTACCCGAGAAATATAAAACACAACCGTGAGCTCACTTTGGACTCTCTGGCCTACCGTTGTATGTAGAGAGACCGGTGTTTGGGTTTCAGCACTGTTCCCGGCAGCAAAGTGCAGCGGCACAAGTTGAGTTTGATTTATTTTATTTTTTCCTTCTCTTCCTCTCACACCTGAGAGGATGGATACGCTCTTCCACTAATTTACGGGGGGAAGGGGGCGAAGGATCGAACGTTTCAGCTACTGATAAGGCGACAACACTGCGCGACACGGCGATGTCTTGCCCCCCACGGGAGGCAGCGGGAGCGGAGGGGGCGGACCGGGATGCGGGCAGCGGTGAGGGCAGCGCCGAGGGACTCTTGCCGCTTCGGCCCTGCCAGCACCAGTTCCCGGCTTCAGGGGAAATAAAGAAGAAACGGCCTCCTAAAGGACTTTCTTCCCTTTTATACTGCCTGAGCTGGATTGTCAGAGTCAAAAGCCGTGAAGCCCAGACTATTTATTAATTCATTGGGTCGTGTGCCACAAATCAAGCCCAATTCTGTTCAGCCACCGTGAAGCTCAGCAGGGCTGCCTCCACTAACGCTTTGTGTGGAGGCAAAGTTGTTCAACAAGCCCTCTCCTGCCAGCTCCTAATCTCTTCACAAATGAATTGCTTGAAGGAAATACTTAACAGGTACCTGTCAGTGTAAACAACCTGGTGGGCTTCCTAAATGCCAAGTTGATCTCTAAATTCCTCACATCACGCACCGGTTGTGTGCCTGCATTACACGAGATCGCTATTTTTTTTCATACAAATTCCAGCTTTATCATACTGACCTGGCCTCCTTATCTCTCCCCCGAATCCAGCCAATGGCTGGGGTGGGGGGGGAGGGAGGGGAGGAAGGGGAGCCCTTAGCAAACTGCTGGTGTCACTGCAAAGTTGAGAACCTGACTTACCTACCTCTGTTTGCGTTCGCCCCCCCCCATCCCTTCTGGAGTTAATATTAACTAGCGACTAATGCATTCGGCAACCACTCTGCAAGTTTAACGATTCTGTTCAGGAAAAATCTCTCCATGGTTGAAGGGCTCCCGAAGCCGGCGTTTGAAGGCTGGGATTTAACGAGAGGTTGCTGGCGGAGGGAGAGAGGGAAGGAGAGGAAAGCAAGGCAGGGAAACCGGCGGCAGGACGGCACCTCGGGTCGCCAGGGGCCCAGCCGTGCCCGGGGAGCGGTGGGCAAGGGCAACCCCTCCGCCCGCTCCCCAGCCCCGCTCCATTTCCCTCTCACTGCCTGGCCGAGGCGTGCCGGAGCCCCGCTCTCTCCCTGCTCTCTTCTCAGTCTCGCTCCCCCATCTCACAACTCCCTTTGCCGCCGGGTACCCGGGGCTGCTGCCTCCTCGTCCCCGCTGCTCTCAGCCCACCTCCCCCCCATTGTGTCTAAGGCATGGCAACAAGCGCTGAAGGAGAAGGTGGGGGGGGGTGTAGAAAAAAAAAGTATTTGTTTTCGTTTCGTTCGTCTGAGGGAAGTTGACAGAAGGTCAGGAGTTCAGCCGCTGCCAGCTAATGCAGCGGGAGCGCAGCAGCCCCGCGTAGCCGGCGCGGCGTGCCCCGGGAGAGCCGCAGGCGGGGTCAGCCCCGCAAGCCCCCCCCGGCCCGCAGCCCACCGCTCCCGACCGCGCCCCCGCTCCCCCGCGCGCGCCGCGCCCCGCTCCGCCGCGCACACACGCACGCGCAGCGCGCAGGGAAGGAGGAGAGGGAGGGAGGGAAGGACGAGAGGGATGCGCGGCCCCGGCGGGAGCCCGTCTCCCGCGAGCCGCCGCGCTGCGCGCCGCGCCGCGGCTGCGGAGGGAGGGTGAAACCCGAGCCGCCGCGATCAATACGCGAGGGGAGTAAGTGGAGCTGAAAATGCTAGAGATGCGGCTCCGGAGGCAGCGGGGGCGGAGGAGCCGCGGGTGTGCGGAGGGGCGCGGGCGCGCCCGAGCGGGGACCGGCCCCGGCCCCGCTGCGCTCCGCACCCTGCCGCGGGGCGGCGGCCGGGGGCGGGCGGAGGCGCCGCCGCGCTCCGAGGTGCGGTGCGATTTAAGGTGGTCGGGAGGAGATGGTGGCGGCCGCCGGTCCCTCGCCCCGGGAGACCCGACAACGTGCGGAAAATCAGGCCGAGGAACGGGGAGAGTTTGGGAAATTCCACTCCCCACTCTCTCCCCCCCCCCTTTACCCGCGTCCACTCCCCGCCTAGTCCTTCCAGGCGAGTCCTGCTCTAGCACTGAAGGTGGGGCTTAAATGTATTAATATTAAAAAAGCGCTGTTGACCTATATTTGGAGGAAACCCATTTCCAGTGTCTAGATTGCATGTAGTTTCTGAAACTCCGGAATTGGCAGAGCACTTGACTTCACTGAGCTCTCTGTTGAGCATGAATAATAATTATGAGGTGACTCTCGGAGCGGTTCTCTCTCTTTCCCTCTCGTTTCTCTATTTTTTCTTTTTTTTTTTTTCTTTTTCATAATATGGTTCCGCAATCCGATTCCACCCGAGATCCAATATTTACCCAGTTGTAAACCTTGTGCCATCAGATTTTTTAAAACAGAAGGTGATGCAATGCCGATAAGTTGCAAGTCCCTCCCCTATGGAAGTACCAGAGCATTGGTGGCGAGCATCCTTAAAGAAATATCAATATATTTACGCTCTGATGGGCACAATTGCAAATGATGGTATTGCAATACGAGCTATATAATACTGAATCAGGAGAGGAATGGTCGATCCGGCTTCAGCTGCCTTTTGTGAGTGCACGACTGCATGCCTACTAAATTTAGAATATGCTCACGAGAGAAATAACAATAATAATAATAATAATAATAATAATGAAGGTTAAAATGAAATGAAGAAAAAAAAGAGAGAAATTGAATAAAATATATATATATAAAAAATCAAGTCAGCAGGCGCAGCAACCACGGACTACGTTTGTAATAATGAGTGGGTGGCCCGGCGGTCACTATACAGTTGGGGTCCTCTGAGCTGTATGCAATTCGTTTGATCAAAGTGCATCCTTGGGGACAAATGCAAACAGCAATCTCTAACCAAGTTACAGGGAACGCCATGGCACGGTAATGACTGTAAGTACCACACAGATTCCCCCACCAAATATCTAAATAGCTCCAGCTCCAGCCCCTGCTAACTTGTCTGGATAGATGGTATTTACATTCAATGGGGAAAACTAGCCGAGTTTGGAGGGGCGGGGGGAGGAGGGGGAGAGGGAAAGGGGGGGCTTTCAAAAATGCTAAGACAGATGCGTCCTTTAGGATTGCTCAGAGAGGTTAACAAACACAAATACAGGTATCTCTGTGGCTCTACCTGAGTCATCAGTCTGTCAGCTCCCGTGTTCTCTTCATCCTTAAAAATAATGTCAGGGTTGTAATTTGGGGTTAGTTCTTTAAATCTCTCGGAGTTTCTTGTGATCTTCCCTTCATATCTTCCACTGGCCCCTAGGGTCTTCTCTGCCACATTGGGAATAAACTGCTTATAGGCTAAAGGGGTCAGCTTTTTGGGGTGCCTCCTTTTTCCAATGCCCCTGCCTGGTCCACAAGTCAGCCCAGAGGAGACTAAAAGAGCGCAGATGAAGCCCACCAAGAGAATTCTTGTCAACAGCAGCATTTCGTCCATTGAATCCAATTACTTCAAAGCTCTCTGTGCCTATCCCTGGCTGTCTCTAGAGCTCTCTCTCCTCCTATGTCCTTGTCTGCTTTCTGAATCGTATACTATCCACCGATCCCTAGCAAGACAGGTGCTGGAATGGCAGGCTTTAGGTCGCTGATAACGGAACACATCGGAGTTTGGTCGTGAGACAGCAATCGAGAGACAAAAAAAGGGTCTGATTTTAATGGTAGCAAAGCAAGACGCTTGTGAGAGGAGTCTGCCTTTAGTTCTATATTATAGCTGCCAGGGCCGAGAGCTGATTGGCCAAGGCGAGACAAGCTTGTCTTCTGATGTTTTAACCCTCAAAAAGGCAACAAATTCTTGAAAGATTTTTTTTTTCCTTTTACCTGAAGGGCTTGGAGCTGAGAGGGGTGGAGATCGCGCTTTCTTGGGATAACATCAATTACACGCTTTTTTTTTTCTTTTTGCCTTTTTTTTTTTTTTTTTTTTTTTTTTTTTTTTTTTTTTTTTGTCAGAAACTTTCTTGGCAGAATGGTACATTTGTCAGCAAGAGGAACAGATGCCTCTGTGAAAGACGGGGAAAAAAGTAAGATTAGCAGGCTGCCTCAGTCCAAGTCAAGATTCTAAGGGCAGTTGCGGTTAAATAAAATGCCGAATTGTCGGGGAGCCGTGTAAATAGGAACGTATTGGGGAAGTATTAACGCCCGGGGGGGAATAATGCCATTTCAGAGCGCACCCACCTAAATGGCTTTGTAACAGGTTTCTTCCCCCTGAAAAGGGAGATTGCTCTCCTTCCTAAAGACGTACTTTTTAAAACACACTCGCCTTTTAGCTGTTAAATGACCACTTTAAAGGCAGAATCAGGTCTGATGCGAGGCGGCAGTTAGATGAAGTTAGGGTGTCTGACTTATGTATCACACAACTGCAATGAGGCACTTTTTTTTTTTTTAATAAAACAAGGACTATCACCCAGTTTAAAATAGTGTTGTATCTTCGAAAGTGCGTGAAAAGTCAACTGATTAAAAATAGATGGTCTCCTGAGCACACTGGGGCTATATTCTTTGTTTCTTTGGTCAAAGTCGGAGAGGAGCGTTTTAGACTCTTACACCTCCTTGCGGGGTGTCATTAAGTTTTTAAGAAAAGCATAGTGCTGAAAGCATCCGCAAACACAATTATCAGAGATCGATCCAAGCAAAGTGAATGGAAAGGGGATAAGTTTAATGTTAAATTAATTGTTATCTCATGCAGCGTGGCAAGTGATGTCTTTATCCCGATCTCCAAAAGCTACTAATCAGACAAAGGTGTTGAGAGACGGGCAAAATTGCAGAGATGGGGCTGATAGAGCAGGTTAGACAGAACAGCAGAGTCCCATATGAACAAACACTTCTCTGCCTGTAAAGTGCTCATTTACTTTTGCTCCTAAGAAAATACAATTTGTCCTAGGATCTAGAAACTTTAAGGAGTTTTTTTAGGGGTTGTTAAAAATTCCAGGACAGCATGCTGAAGTAATTAAAAGTTCTGTCTCTCAGAAAAACAAAACACATCCAAAAATCAACTTTATTTTAGTTGTGGGTATCTAAAAAAAAAAAAAAAAAAAAAAAGAAGTTCTTTGGAGCTAACAATCATATGGGATTTTTCCAGTCTGTGACATCGACCTGAGTAATCAACTTAATCCATGTGAAAATGCACTTTAAAATTAGTTTTTAAGTGGTAAGAAAGTTGTGCATCCGTAAACTGTAACAAGCAGGGCAGCATGGACTTTTCAAGGGACAAAGTGGTCTTTTTAGGTAAACTTTAGAAAAGAGCCGAAAAAAGTAATCCGAAACTCTCATGCTGGCTCTAACCGGTGCTCTTCCCTCTTTTTTAGCCTAAACTTTTCTTCTGCTGTTTATGTTTCTTTGTAGAGTTTTAGTGAATCATTGATTTCTCTTTCCGAGCTTTAAATTGAGGAGTTTTGACTTGGAAATGGGTAAAAAGCTAGAAAGTCAGCAGCTTGGCTTCTAGGTTGTTATCAACCAACTTAGTTGCAGAAACAAGTTGTATAACAGCTAAATACCTGCTTCATGCTATTAAAAAACAAACTTAAGTTTTATCTTGCCGTCTGCGTGCATGCGAGAAGACAGATACAAGGAATATATAATTTATACAAAAGAGGATATGTTCTTTTGATGTGGTTGCTTAAACAGCATGACTTGATATAACAGTTGATTAAACAGCGCCAAGGAATAAAAGCTATTCTTAATGGTGTGGAATACTGCAAATCTTTTATCGCCCCTCTTACCTTGTCCCCCTACCCAAGGAAAGATAATCGATATCCCAGGCACTAGACGGGTGGACATCGCAGAGAAGAAGTCTAGAGAATAAGGATAAACTCCCTCATTATCAGATTGCCATATGTACAAAGCAGTCACCCAAAGATTAGCAGGGAAGGAAACGCAAAGAAGGAATTAATTAAATGCAAGTAATAAATGCGCGGGGCGGGGGGAAGGGAGAAATCAAGAAAAGTTGTAACTGTGGGAAGCTCGAAATCCCCCTCCTATCAAATTAGATGTGAAAGAAAGCAGAGCTGGGGGAGCGGGGAGGCTCTGCTCAGCCTCAGCGCAGGCTGGAGGTGGCCGCGGCCCCACCGGGAGCCGGGCCCGCACCCGCGGCCTCCGGCATGGCGCCCGTGCCTCTCCTACGCCGCGTCTAAAGCTTCTGCTTCTTCCTTTTCTAATCTATTATTTAAATGCCACCGCTTCTGGGCGAAAAAATAGCCCCCAAGCCCCCAGTCCCTGTCAAGCAGCGCCGGGCGCGCTTTCCCTTCCGCGGGGCATCACTGACCTGCCCCGACCGGCGCCCCAGCACCGGCCCCAGGCTGCCGAGCGGGGAGATCCGTGCCCTGCCCCTGCCCCGCCCCCACACCTCAGAAGAAACAGCAAAACACCCCGCGGCCGGGCCCCCACCGCACACCTTCTTTGCGAGGCCGTCCACAGAGCCACAGCCACTGCCTGCCCCAGGGGTCCCAGGGCCCCTCAGGGCTGCCCAGGTCCAGGGTGACGGGGAGGCCCCTGAATGAAGACCCCCTCCCTCCACACTGCTACCCACAGAGCCAGGTCCCCCATGGAGCTGCCGCCAGGCTCCCTGTCAGCCCCCAAAGCTCTGGCAGAGCGATGGGGAGCCCCTTGGGTCATCCCCCGGTGCCCCAGGGCACAGCACACACCACAGTCCCGAGAGCATCCACTGCTGACCCCACGAGTCCTATTGCAAGCACCCATCGCAGCCTCATGGCCCAGAGTTCCTCGATGACACACAAGCTCTTCCAGTGGCTCTGCCAAACCTTGTGGCAGGGGGCCAGGCTTCCCCCCACCGTGGGGCCATGGACAGGGCTGTGGGGCAGCACTGTCCTGGGCCATCCCTATGGGGCCTGGGCTGCAGTGGGGCAGTGGTGGGTGCACCTGGCCTCCAGTCAAGCTCTTTGAGGATCTCACTTATCATTTATCTTCTTCTTTTGTGAAATCTGGATTTGCTGATGGCCGTTTGCTCTGCATAAAGGCAGGGAAGGGTTCAGACTGCACAGGCGAGGTTGCTGGTTGGCCATTTGAAGTTGCACTAATACATTTTGCTTGATGAATCCCAAAACACAGGATGTTTCCCTCAGAAAATTTGAGATGCAAATGCTGTGTACCTTTTAATTGGATCTTAATAATTTATCATCCTTAATGGCCACCTTTTTTTCTCACACTTAATATATGATTTTTTTATTAAACTATCCATTTTTAGAGCATGAAAGCTTCATTCTTGTAGCCTCTTTGCACCTCTGGTGTTTGCCAAGATATTTGGGATCAAAGCAATCACTGATAGAGAAGTAGATCATGAATAACTTCAGCAAAACCAGAGGTTATGATTGAGTAAGACTGGTATAAGTGGAAGGAGACTCAGGCAGGATTTTCATTTGAAGCTTTGTTTGATTCTTTTTTACACCCCACCCCCTTTTACGGCAATGTTAGACTATTTCATTTAAAAGAATTGACTCACCATCCCTTGTTGCCTATCCTGGTAGTATTGCAATATATATCTTAGAAATTTCAGTCCAGAACTACTGTCTAGCTGGCAACTATACCTTTACAATGACAAGCAGAACAAGTACTTGTTCCTTGGAATATCCTTCCAAAAACCCCCAAACCCTGGCAGCAACAAGAAAAATTAAGCTTGTAGTTTTCCACTCATTTTGGTTTGACTGCAAAATTCAGGGAGCCACAGAGCCAAAACCTGGTATCTGCTCTGCTTTTCCCTTAAACTGGCATTAGTCTGTGAGTACTCCTGCTACAAGAAAACCATATTTTGTGTGCATGGAGAGGCAGAAAATGTTTGCTTCACAGAACAACTCTGTCTATGTGCATTGATTTTGCCATTTTCATACCCATCTGCTTGTGGATTAATGCTAATCATTGGCTTGACTACGGTCAAAACAGCCTTTCATCATACATGTAACAATTACTGTAGGCAAAATGATTCATAAGACATCGTTATCTATGTTTTATTTCATATTTGCTCTTGAAGCAAACTTTAAAGCAGAGTTTCCCCCAGATTTCCTTATATCCTCAACAGTGCAATATGTAATGTCTGATTACAGGTTTATAGAGAAGCCCTTACATTTCTTTCGTAGGTATTTTAATTTCTCTTTGAATAACCCAACATTTTCTTGTACCAAAAGCCCCAGATAGGAAGGAGTATCCTTTTTTATTTTTTGTTCTTTCATTCCTGGGTTGTGATCTGCATCCCTTTTCAGTCACTTCCTTCTAGTCATGAGTGGGGAAAATCCCAACCCAGGTGTTTCTGTCCATGCAGGAACGGTGGGAGGGAAACAGCCACTAGGGGAGCTCGATGTTGGGAGTAACCTCTGAGCACCTTCCTCACAGCTTACACAGCTTTCTGCACTCCCCGGGAGTAGAAGTTTGAAAGTAGTTGTTAAGTTAAAAACAAAAACAAAAACAAAAAAAAAAAAAACCCACAAAAAACCAAACACTAAAAAAATAAGAAAATCAAACCAAAACAAAAACCCTCAAACAACAACAACCCCCCCAGCCCAAAACAAAGCAGCAACATACAAAATGGACAAGTTTTGGAGCTTTATTTTTTTATTTTTTTTTAATAACAATTTTATAACCAACTAAGTTATTTTCTTGTCGCTCTGTACATTGAATTCTGAGGCAAGAAACAACCACAAAAACA